CCCACAGAGGTCCCTTCCAACCCCTACCATTCTGTGATTCTGTGATTCTGTGACCCTGCTTCGGCAGGGGTGTTGGACTAGATGACCCACAGAGGTCCCTTCCAACCCCTACCATTCTGTGATTCTGTGATTCTAGCAAGCATGTCATTGCATGGACTGCATTTTAAGTTCAATGTTTGCTAGCAAAGGTAAAGACTGAGATGCTTAAAGCTTTCTAATTAAAATTCAGTGCTCTTGCTGTCAAGTTGTGGTAAGATTGCTGTAGTAGTTAATTTCAGTTGCTGAGGCTTACTCAAAACGGTTTGTGTAACCTTTTTTTTTCTGTGGTATGTAGCAAAGCAAGTTAGACCTCTTGCTTTACTAATTTTTATCATAACACAGTGGTCCCCCCTGAAATTACAGCCATACAGTTTTACAGTCAGCAGTAGGGGCTGTAAAACCAGGGGGAGAAGGTTTTGGCTCCATTCTTAGAAACTTGTGAAGTGCACGATGTGGGAATATGAGATGGGCTGGGAGCAAACCCTTTTTCTTGTTTGACATCTGATGCACAGCGGTCGCTGGCTGGCGCGGGCTGGGCGGGCAGGCTGGGTGAAGGCTGTGAGGAGACGGAAGGCAGAAGGGGACAGGAGCTTTCTCTGTGCCAGCCCGCAGGTCTGCAGCACACATGGAGGTAGGACACAGTATCCGAGCCCCAGATATTGCGTCCCTGGCTCCTCTTCTGGACTGTTGTGTGTGGAGCTTTAAATCTCCAGGGTTTATGCTCTCCCATAACGAGCGCTGTCAGCTTGAGAGATGGTCTTAGTTGTTAGTAGAATAAAAACGGGAGAAAGTGGTTGATGTGCAATACTTGGGAGGGTTTATAGCTCTTTGTTTCCCTGTCCCACTGCTATGGATACAGCCTGCATCAGCAGCACAGGAGGGTGCTCTGACCAACTCCTGAGCAGTTTCTTAACTGCATCCAGGTGACTGGGCTCCTTGAGTTTACTGGAGTCCTGTTGTGCTAATCGTTGTGGGAAGGATACCTGATGGCAGTGTTAGGGCTTAACTGAGTAGGTAGCAGAGATAGGGGATAAGTAATAAACGTGTCTCACAGGCAGCGTAAGCAAGGGGAGAGCTTTTTTTTTTTTCTCCTGATGTCTATTACTATTATTATTATTACAATTCCGGTTGCTGCTTGTAACCACAGAATAAGGGAGGAAGCTGGGAATGGGGTAGGTGCTTGCAATTCAGTGCATTGCTGCGCTTCCTGTGGGCGTGTGCCAGAGTGGTTTCTATGCCTTTCTGAAAGTGTGTGTAGTCCAGTGGCTACAGCATATGGCTTTAGATATAGCTTCACTTGTGTTCGCTTACGCTGAAGTCTGATCTGTTGCCATGTGAAGGAACATGTTGTTGCAGAGGGTCCTCAGTCGGCTTGCTTGAGGATGGTGGGTCTGCAGTAATCTCTTTGAGTTCCAGGTCTGAGGGGGGAGATTTGATAATTTCATTCGTTATTTGAGTTATTTCAGCTGCTTGGCGTGGCCTAGTGCTGTTGGGGTTCTGAGACACCGTGGAGAACCTGGAGGGGGAGATCATTCAGGGCACGGGAATATAACACAAAAAGGAAGGTGAAGAATGAAAGAAATTGTAAGGATTTAAAAAAAGAGATGGAATGTGAGATAAATGTTGTTTGACTAGCTGACAGCCTGATTGTTTGATGAAGTCTGTCTGAAACAAGAGATTGACTCACAAGTCAGTTTGCATTGTAGGTGCTGCAGAGTTTCAGCTTGTAATTGCCCTGACAGTAAAATTTTATAATCCTCTCTTTTTTTTATGCTGAGCAAATATGACTGGTAGCTGAAATAAGGTTTTGGAAGTGGTATGTTTATGTTTCGTCTGCAGCTGGCAGAGGAGGGATGATACTGTGAGCACTCAGTGCAGGGATAGCACAGAGCTAAAAAAATAGGACAGTAAAGGCTTCTGCAGCTACGTCACGATAGGTTTGGCGTCTTGATCAGTATTTGCATTTGGACATCATTTTTGTTCACTGAAATTCCAGCCATATCCATTCACCTCAGTCTTTACCTCTGCCCTGCACCAGGGCTTTTTTCTGTTTTGTCTCTGTAGTCCTTTACAGCCAGCTCAGTGATCCTTCTCCGCTGGAGGAGGGTTCTCCTTGGTCTCCCTCTATTCTCAGGTTGCAGCAGGTCACTGTAGATTAGTCTTTGGGGGAATGGTTTCCTCCTTGTAGGATGCCTTAAGACCTTCAAAAGCCCTGCGTCTCCTTGCTGCCCATGGATCTGGCCTGCGGTGCTGCAGTGTGGAGAAGAGACGTTCCTCATCCTGTGCGCAAGGACTCTCTTTGGTCTGGCTGTAAGGAATGCTGCTGTGCCAGGGAGGTTTAGCTTTGCTTCTGGTTTAGCTGTTGGGACAGCTGCATGCTGGCGCTGAAAACAGGGGCTCTTCCATTCTGTGTATGAAGACAGATGGTTCACAGCCCTGTGCTTGAGCTACTGACAGAAGATTTTGGTCTCATCTGTTTCCTTGCAATGATCTTCTGCTAGCTCACTGAGAAAGCAGTTTACTGCTTCCCCCCCTTCTTCACACCACCACCCACCCTTGATCTTGTAGAAGTTGCAACTTCTACCTCTTTGCGGATCATAAAAATATCTTTTTTGTGTTCGTTGCTGGGTTTGGGGAGGTAACCTGCTGGCTAGAGGAAGGTGAATTTGTTATAACCCTCCAGCAGCTTTGTAGAGTGATAGTAGGAGCTTTGTGTTTTGGTTACAGCAGTATATCCTGAGTTTCACGCTTGTGATCTTATTCCTATTGACAATAATGCTGTCGGAAAAAAGACTAACAAATCAGTAACTGGTTCAGTCAACATTTATACAGCTTTGTAAAGGTTTTCTGGAAGACCCAAGCGGCTTAACAGAAAGTCGTGGGCAGAACAGGTTAGTCTGTGTAAAGATGTCCTATGAATTCTCCCTTGAGTATCAAATTTACACTGGAACAGTAGTCTCAAGCTTTCAGAGAACTTGTTTTTCACTTTGTAGCTTGTTTTCTGCACTTTCAGGTGTGCAGCCTATTTATTTGTACGCAACTGCCATGATGTGGCTTGCCCCAAGCTTATAACTTGTGCTTTGCCTAGACTATTTCCTTTCTGCAGTATTAACTGTAATTGATCTTGGGTTCAGTTGTACGTACTTGGTGTTTTTGTTCTGTTGACACAGTGTTTACAACAGTAGGGTTCCTGTGCATGACTGGAACCCTAGGTTTAACAAGAATAATAACAAGAATTGGCCAGGTTTTTTTGCTATCTAATTAACTAGTGGAGATACGGTACATGATGTTCTGAATGCAGATGACAGCAAGCATATTTTCAAAAGTTAGCAGTCCCACAGCTGTACACCTTTGCTGCCAAAGCAGAAAGGGCAGGGAACGATGTGGAGATCCTAACCTTCATTTCACCTTTGGAAATGTTCTAGCCTGTATTTGAAACACGGTGCGAAGCAAAGGAAATCTTAATTGCTTCTGTCTTTGGTAGGAGTGGTCTCCACGTAATTGTGGAGGCTAGCTCTGGAAGCTGTGAGGCTGGTTTGTGCCATCAGCAGTTCTCAGTGTTAAAAATAGAAGATGGGTTTGTGCTGAGTGCTGTTGAGATGGAAGTGCTTTAAGAATTGTGTGCAGCATTCCTTACAAGCCCATTAGGGGATGTTAAGGAAAAGTTGTTTTCTTGCTACAGCGATTTTGCGTTTCAACCAGTTTCTGTCTTTTCCTCTTTTTTTTTTTTAAAAAAAAAAACAAAACACCTGCAGATCAACTTGAACGTGTGTTCTTGCGTCTTGGCCATGCAGAAACAGATGAGCAGTTACAGAACATTATTTCCAAATTCCTACCCCCTGTTCTCCTCAAGCTGTCCAGCACACAGGAAGGAGTTCGTAAAAAGGTAAGGGTGCAATTTACCATAATGGAATGTTTTCAGGGAGAATGAAATGCCACTGATGTATCATGGTTTACTATGCTTGAATGTTCTCTGTGGAGAAATTTGCTCTTGAGGAAAAGTAGTCATGAGCCAGATAGAGAATGGGTTTATTAGAACTGTTAGGGCTTAAAGAAAACAGTCATTGTTTGTATCAACAAGGTCTTTTGCAGATACGTGGAGGCTGCAAGTGTTTCCTCTTGGGGCCGGCTAGCTATGAATTAGCTTGAGACCAAGACTTACTGCCAAAGAGAAAGTTCCCGTGGCTTCCAGGCTTCCATGTTAGGGTTGTTGTGCATCCACCTGACTTCTGGGATGTGTGGAGCAAGCTTGCTTCTGTGTGAAAAAGACCATGAAGACCTACTCATTGATGTCAGTCACTTGTCTGACAACAGGAATAGGAGCAAGGACTAAGCAATTTTGAAGATGGAGTTTGGTACCTACCTGAAGGAATTCAGTTCCCTGCTGCGGAATGCAGCTTTATCACAGAATTCCTTCAGGTAGATGTTAAATTTCACATCCAAAACTGTTTGGTCCTTGCTCCTATGCTGTAAACAAGCAAGGACCAAACAGTTTTGGAGGCAGAATTTAGTGTGTACCTGAGGAATTCAGTTAGTTTGTAGGATAAAAGCTCATCTGGACACACACAAAGGAGCACAGAGACACAGCAGCAAGTGCAGAAACCTTTATAACACCCAGCTACTCCCAGGAACATTGTAGGAGCCATCAGCTCATTAAAGGCCCATCTGCACAGGCCCAGGGGAACAGAGGGGCACCATGACAGGCAGGCAGTTAAGGCATCGCAGGAAGGGCCACCCTGCCCAGGTCTGTCCCAGGCCTGTCTGAGGAGAGCCTTAGCCCCACTGTCCAGGGGTGAAACCAATCAAAAGGAGTCAATGCCAGAACACCTTTTGGCCTGAGGGGGTGATACCTAGAGATAGTAGACACAGTGGGATGCAGGGGAAGAGCATTTTGGAGTGGCACAAGCCTTCAAATGAGATGTTTGGTGGAGGAGCAAAAGGCAGGGAAAGGGATGGACCTAGGTGGTTTGAGGAGGAGCAAGTGTGGGTCCCTAAGTGTGAAGCCCACTGGTGAATGCGTGCCTCTCCTGGTTGGACTTGGGGGCATGGAGCGGCGGCAGCCTCCCCTCTGCTAGGCTCCTAGGCCTGGGACTGATTCCCTGACACCATAAAATCATAGAATGGTAAGGGTTGGAAGGGACCTTAAAGATCATCTGGTTCCAACCCTCCTGCCACGGGCAGAGACATCTTCCACTACACCGGGTTGCTCAGAGCTCCATCCAACCTGGCCTTGAACACTGCCAGGGAGGGGGCAGCCACAGCTTCTCTGGGCAACCTTTGCTGGTGTTTCATCACCCTCATGGTGAAGAATTTCCTCCAAATCAGTGCTCTTTTAGTTTACAGCCATTCCCCCTTGTCCTATCACTAAACACCCTTGTGAAAAGCCCCTCTCCATCCTTCCTGTAGGCCCCTTCAGGTACTGGAAGGCTGCTCTAAGGTGACCCCAGAGCCTTCTCTTCTGCAGGCTGAACAGCCCCATCTCCCTCAGCCTGTCCTCATAGCAGAGGTGCTCCAGCCCTCTGATCATCTTGGTGGCCCTCCTCTGGACCAGCCCCAAAACATCCATGTCCTTCTTATGCTGGGGGCTCCAGGGCTGGATGCAGGACTCCAGGTGGGGTCTCACGAGAGCGGAGTATAGGGGCAGAATCACCTCCTTCGACCTGCTGGCCACACTTCTCTTGATGCAGTCCAGGATATTGTTGGCTTTCTGGGCTGCAAGTGCACATTGACGCGTCATGTTGAGCTTCTCATCCACCAGTAGCCCCGAGTCCTTCTCCTCAGGGCTGCTCTTGATCTACTCTCCGCCCAGCCTGTGCTTGTGTTTGGGATTGCCCCGACCCACTTGCAGGACCTTGCACTTGGCCTTGTTGAACTTCATGCAGGCCCACCTCTCCAGCCTGTCAGGGTCCCTCTGAATGGCATCCCTTCCCTCCAGCGTGTCAACCACACCACACAGCTTGGTGTTGTCGTCAAATTTGCTGAGGGTGTACTCAGTCCCACTATCCATGTTGCCGACAAAGACGTTAAACAGCACCGGCCCCAGTACCGACCCCTGAGGCACACCTCTCGTCACTGGTCTCCACCTGGACATCGAGCCATTGATTGCAACTCTTTGAGTGCAGTTTGAACTCTTTGAACTCTTGACCATGTACTGGTCATTCCCCATATTCCTGTCACCAGGCAAGGACCAAACGGTATTGACGGTGGAATTTAGTAGGAACGTGAAGGAATTCAGTGATGCAACTGCCTTCTGTAGCAGGGAGCTGAACTCAGTTTCCTAGCAGGTTTTTTTCACAGTTCTGTGTTCTTGCACAAGTCTTTTGTAACAGCAGTTGTGGGACTGCGTGAGGGGATCACTAAACCTAGTGTTAACAGCAGAAGAGTGCTGACCTGGTCTGGATTCAGGCAGAGGAACACCTGCTTTGTGTTTCCCGTTCTGCCAGGAGGAGATGACCAGAAGAGGTAGATGGGGCAGCAGCAGCTAAATGTAAGATCTGAGCAGCTGGATCAGAAGGCAAAGGATGAATTCTTGTCCCTGCAGCTGTTCATCAGGAGGAGCTGCCTGGTGGTAGAGGTGGACCAGAACCTTTCTGAGCAGAGTGCAGATGGACTGTTGGGGAGTGGTGGTGGAAGAGAAGCTTTCTATAATGCCCTCTTTTCTTTGTCTTGTAGAAATAGAGAAATGATCATGCTTTCCCTGGATCTATGAGCAGATTTCAGAACCTGCAAATAACTAGAACACAGATTTTTCTAAAAGTTCTGCACTAAACATGGTCCTGGCAGTGGTCACACAAAAGCGGATCCGTAGATGCGAAGCCATTCCACTGTGCTGAAGGGCAGATACTCCAGCTTGGAGGGTTCTGCTGAATACCTGTGTGCACTTGAAGCTGTGAAGAGAAGCGTCTAACTAGCTAGTGAGATTTCTTAGGGTAATTTGTATGATATTTTTTCCATAAACTGGAATTGTTGCCTATTTTTTTGGAGTATTGTGAGATTCAGG